AATGGGTAGTGGAGGAGGGAGACAGCAGATACCTCTTGGGGCCCTGAGACCAATGGCACCCCTGGCAACCGCGGATCTTTCTACAGTCCTTATAGTTTTCAATTCTCCAGAATGTCATGGAAGTGGAATCATACAGCATGTGGCCTTTTCAGACTGGCTCATTTCCCTTAGTCATACACATTTAAGGTTCCTCCATGTCTTTTCATGGCTCGATAGCTCCTTTCTTCTCGTCGCTGTGTAAGATTCCGTCTGGATGTACCAGTTCACACACTGAAGGACATCTTGTTTGCTCCCAAGTTTGACAACTATGAATAAAGTGCCTATAAACATCCGTGTGCAGGTTTGTGTGCGGATCTCACCCCAGCTTCTGAACTGAAACCATCTTCTTCTGGAGCAGCTCCCAATTAATGACCAAGCATGAAAAGGGTGTTAGGGACTGGGCATCTCTGCCCGATGCAAGATTCCCTAATGGTCAGTCTCGACCCTGGAGCTCCCTGTTGGGTTGGGCAAGACTTCGTCAGATCTGCACTGAGGTCTGAGGCTCTCACAGCCCTCAGCCTCCAATTAACCACTTGTAGAACCAACCCCATCTCAGTGTCTGCTGCCTGGAGGACCCAAGTGGCAAATTCTTTTTTTTTTTTTAAGATTTTATTTATTTATTTGACAGACAGAGATCACAAGCAGGCAGAGAGGCAGGCAGAGAGAGAGAGAGGGAAGCAGGCTCCCCGCCGAGCAGAGAGCGCAATGCGGGGCTCGATCCCAGGACCCCGAGACCACGACCCGAGCCGAAGGCAGAGGCCGCAACCCACCGAGCCACCCAGGCGCCCCCCCCGAGTGGCAAATTCTACCTCTAAAATGATCCATCCAGTTCTCTCGGTCATCCAGCCTCCAAGACTCCATTCCTCTCACCTGGATGGTTGCAGGGCCCCTAGCTTGTCTCCCTGCTTCCTCTCTTACCCTGATACGACCCAGTCTCCATACAACCATGAGAGTGATCTTTTACAAACACAAACCATGTGATGTTACTTCCCTACTTCAAGCCTTCCAGCTGGGCTTAGAATCAAACTCATTTTCCTCCCCTAGCCTGTGAAGCCCTACATGACTTCACCCTGCCTTTCTCTCCAGATTTCCTCTCTCCCCTGAAGTTCACTCTTCTTCAGCCCCAGTGGCCTTCTTTCTGTTCCTGGAACACACCAAGCTCATTTCTGCTGCAGGGCCTTTGCACTAGCTGTCTCCTCTGCCTAGAACACTAAGTCTTTCCCCAGATTTCTGCACGGCTGGTTTCTCAGGTCATTCAGGTCTCAGCTCATAAGCAGGACTTTTCTGACAACCTTACAAATAATGCCAATTTCTCAAATCTGCCCCCACCAACACACACACAGGTTAAGTGGGAGATGCTGTAGTGGAGGGGAGAATGTGGGGGCTTAGGAAGGCAGGAAGAGGGAGAGTCATGTCCTGATCAATACCCATTATGTATGGGCACCTGGGGATGCGTGATTTGGAGAGAGCTCGGGTGACCAACTGGCCCAATCTTCCCAGGACGGAGAAGATTGGGAAACTGCCTACAACTTTCTATATTACTTTTTACATTTACATTACATTACATTTCTATATTTCTATATTACTTTTTACATTTACATTACATTACATTTACATTACTTTTACATTTTCTTTGTAGTTCTAATGACTATTATAAATAAACTCATTTATTTAATTATTCATTTGTTTACTGCTTGCCTCCCCACTAGAATATAAACTCCAAGTTTGTCTTATTTCCAGCTCTCCCCAGGGCCTGGCATTTTGCCTGGCACAAAGTCGGTCTCAAAACATATATTTTGAATGAATAACTATACTTGTTCATTTAGGGCAGAATTCCCTTACCCTAAGAATGGAATATAAGTAAGAAATAAAAAGCCTAGAGACGCGAGACTTTAGAGGGAAAATGTGGGGACAATTCAAGTCTGAGGGGAGTTCCCCTGAGAATCTGTTTCTGGCCATCTCTGGAGGGATTCTGTGTTAGAACTGGGGGGCCACAGTCTCTTCCACAGCCCTGGAGAAATGGGTTTCAGGACCTCCCTGTCCTAGCCTCCCCTCTCTGCCTCCAGCAGCAGCCAGTGTTGGGGGAGCTAGCTCCGCAAATACTTACCAAGAAACTACCCTGCTGGATGTTGGGGATAGAGGAGAGGCTAGGAAGAAGGAGAGGAGTGGCACCCCAGGCAGCAGACAGCATGAACAAAGGCAGGGACAGGGGACATTCTGGTGTGTTTAGGGAAATATGCACTGGTCTGATACTGCTCTAGACAGTGAGGAGTAGGAGATGATGCTGGAAGGGGGAGCGGTGTCCAGGTTACCAACAGTCTTACAAACCAAGAGAAGCTAGCATAATAAGGTCTGGCATTTATGGAGCCTTTCTTTTTTTTTTTTTTTTTTTAGATTTTATTTATTTGTCAGAGAGAGAGGGAGAGAGAGCGAGCACAGGCAGACAGAATGGCAGGCAGAGGCAGAGGGAGAAGCAGGCTCCCTGCAGAGCAAGGAGCCTGATGCGGGACTCGATCCCAGGACGCTGGGATCATGACCTGAGCCGAAGGCAGCTGCTTAACCAACTGAGCCACCCAGGCGTTATGGAGCCTTTCTACGTATGACTGTTACTCTCCCATTTTGTAACTTGGAAAACTGAAGTTCAGAGAGAGTGTCAAGAATGGGGAAAGGCCTGAGACTTTGCCCTCCTTGCAAACTATGTCGCACAACTGATAACAGGGTGAAAAGGAGGCCCTCCAGCTCTAAGAGAGTCCCTGACCTTGACCACTAGGTGGTACGGCACTACCTCTTAAGGGGTTTGGAATTTATTCCATAAGGGACAGGGAAGCCACTGATGGGTTTAGAAGCAGGGGAGCCGTGTGTTCCTAGCACAGGTCTAAAAAGCCATTCTGGGGCAAAACAGATCAGTTTAAACAAGATTTGACTCAAGCCTTTGAACCCATTTATCCAATTGTCCCCAGTTCTCATGGGGCCGCCACATAATAGGGGCACCCTTTGGTGCCTGAGCCACAGTGGCTCCCCTGCCTTTGGCAGCAGCCCCTTCTCTCGGCTTCGCATGTGCGTGTCTGGATTTTCTGCAACAGTTTCTCCTGGGGATGTGAGGTGTGTGTTTCTGTCTTTACAGAACGCGTAGATGCACCAGGAGTTCTGATGCCTTGTGTACCTGCAGGACTTCACAGGCCCCCTTCTGCCTGTGCTTGTCTTCAGAGAGCCTGGCTCACCTCTCCATCAGGGTATGCTTCTTCCCCCAGGCTGTGCTGCCTGGCGGGGTTTCCAGGTCAATGCTGCAACAAGCATCAGCTCACATCCATGCACGTGGGACTCTGGGGGTTTATCATACAGAGCTTGCCCTTGGCTCCCACGTTATAGCTCATGATCCTTGACACCCAGAGAGATCTGGGGAGCATGGCAGGCATAATCCTGGGGCTGGGGGAGGGGTGGGGTGTGAAAAGCATGTGCTCAGGGACCACTGGGCAGGATCCCGGTGGTCAAAGAGCGTCCCCCAGGACTGTGGCCTTCTGAAAAATGTTCTGGTCTCTCCCCACCAGCGGCACTATGCAGAGACCACGAGGTAGCTACAGTGGCTCAGAGCCCCAGTGTGTGTCTTTTCCTCAAGTCAAGAATACAGGCGAGGCAAGGAGACAGGCCAGACTCCAGGTCAGGACTGGCCTGGGTGTGGCGTTGGCCAGTGACTCCCAAGAGCCACAGCCCCTCTCCTCCACCCTTTGCAGCAAACATCCAACATCCGCAGCCTTCTGAGTGCCCTTCCAGCACTGGGAACCCAGGCCGCTCAGAAAACACCTCGTGGAAAACTGGAGCTGGACCTGAATTGTGGAGGATGGTAGGTTTTTTTTTAAGTTTTTAATTGCAAAGTTAATTTGCAACAATATATATATAGACATTTGTGAAAGGAGAAAGTAAAAGTCTCCTCAGCCACCCCCACACCACAGCTCACTCCCATTCCTTCCGGTTCCTTCCAGTGCCTGGTCCACATGCCCAGCAGGGTTTTGCCTTCCTACTGTAGACTGCAGTGGGGAGGTGGGGAAAGCGGTCTTCTCTGGGACCCCTGGTGTTTCCTGCCCTTAAGGATTCTCAGAGCGGGGAACTTCTGCTATCTTCTGAGATCAGAGGAAGTTCTTGCTTCTTTGTTTTTCTGCCGTGTGTGTGTGTGTGTGTGTGTGTGTGTGTGTGTGTGTGTTTTCTTGGGGAGTTTTTTGATGGGTGTGGAGGGGAGTGAACCCTGTTCCTTCAGGAGGTCGCAGGCGGGGAGTGACAGGCTGGCGGTTGGCTCAAAATCTCCAGTCCCCTGCCCCTAACACTGACCTCTTTTCTTCTGCCCACGCCCACCCCAGCTCCATCGCACAACCTGAGTCCCCCCAGAAGTGCCTGAACCCCAGTGCTGCTCCAACGCATCCTGGCTCCGTGACCTTGGACAGCGACCCGACCTCGGTGGGCCTCAGGCTTCTCCTTTCCCGGGTGAGCGTGTCCACCGCGAGGCTTCCCTGCGCCCGAGCTTGTAGCTCTCCAGGCCCTGAGCCCGACACGAGCCAAGCTCCCCGCCAGGTAGCAGTCGGCATTACGGGTTCGGGGAGGGGGCGGGAGCCCGGGACGGGTGCGGCGGGGGTCCCCCGGGAGTCCCGCAGCGCGGCCACCGGGTCGCCGCCCCCTATCCCCTACCCGCCTCCGTGCGGCGCAGGCGGCGGGATCACGATCTCGGCGGCGCCCCGGCCGCGGCGCCCGGCACAGAACGGGTGCGGGCTGGGCCAGGGCCGGCCTGGGGGAGCCTGCGGGGCGGGGCCGCCGCGCCCGCTCCCCCTCCCCGCCGCCCGCCGCCTTCTCCTCCTCGCGCCGCGCGGGCTCAGAGCGGCGGCAGCAGCGGCCGCGGCAACAGCTCCCGCTCGGGCTCCGGCTCCCGCTCGGCCCCGTTCGGCCCCGCGCGCCCGGGCCCCGCGCCCCGACCCCGCCGCCGCGCCTGCCGGGGGGCCTCGGGCGCCCCCGCCGCCCGCCTCACGCTGAAGTTCCTGGCCGTGCTGCTGGCCGCGGGCATGCTGGCGTTCCTCGGTGCCGTCATCTGCATCATCGCCAGCGTGCCCCTGGCGGCCAGCCCGGCGCGGGCGCTGCCCGGCGGCGCCGACAACGCCTCGGCCTCCTCGGCCGCCGCCGCCGCCGCGTCCCCGGGCCCGCAGCGCGGTCTGAGCGCGCTGCACGGCGCGGGCGGCTCGGCCCGGCCCCCGGCGCTGCCCGGGGCGCCGGCGGCCAGCGCGCACCCGCTGCCACCCGCGCCCCTCTTCAGCCGCTTCCTCTGCACGCCGCTGGCGGCCGCCTGCCCGTCGGGGGCCGAGCAGGGCGACGCGGCGGCCGGCGAGCGGGAGGAGCTGCTGCTGCTGCAGAGCACCGCCGAGCAGCTGCGCCAGACGGCGCTGCAGCAGGAGGCGCGCATCCGCGCGGACCAGGACACCATCCGCGAGCTCACCGGCAAGCTGGGCCGCTGCGAGAGCGGCCTGCCGCGCGGCCTCCAGGACCCGGGGCCCCGCCGCGACGCCATGGCCGACGGGCCCTGGGACTCGCCGGCTCTCATCCTCCAGCTGGAGGACGCCGTGCGCGCCCTCCGGGACCGCCTGGACCGCATCGAGGTGAGCGCCGCGCGCCGTCGGGCAGCGGCGGGGGGTGTGCGAGGGGCGGAAAGGGGAGGCCGGCGCCTGCCGTCCGTGAGACACCCGCACGGGGGTGGGGCGCGCGGGGAAGGCTCGTTCCCTCCGCGTTTCCTCCAGGCTCCTCTGTGCTGAGCCTCAGTTTCCGCATCTGTGGAACGGGCGTCACGGCGTCCACAAGTAGCGAGGATTTAGTGAAATGTAGGTATGTGAAAATGCTTGGCACGTACTAGGACCTCGTTAGATGTCCGTTTCGTTTGTTTCTCGCAGACACCCCCAAAGCAGCCCCCGTCCCCTTCGCTTCCTAGGGTGGGGGCGGGGAGCTAGGAGGCGCTGTCCGAGGGGCTCCGGAAGCTGCTGTCCTGCGAAGAGCAGAGACCAGAGTGTCCCATCAGCCAAATCCGGGTGTCCCTCAGCGCTTCCCATCCTGGTATCCCCCGCTCGGCCTCGGACCACAGACCCAAGGGCAGCGGCTTAGATGGCGCGGGCCCAGCCCCCAGTACCTGGAAGCCAGCAGCTCTGGGTGGGGACTGACTGGAGAATAGGGCTTCCTGCGGGTTCCTCCTCCTCCACACACCTTCTTCCGAAGCCCCTGGGTCAGGTCAGACACAGGGGGTCTGAGAGGGGACTGAGCACCCCCAGCCATCCATGATTTCCAGATGGTAGCAAAGGGGGTTAGCAACAAAACTGAGTCTGTGGAAAGAGGAGGGGAGAGAGAGGCCAAAGCCCCCTTTCGTGTTTTCCCCCAGCCTAGCGGAGCTGGCAAAGGCAGAGGGAGGAGAGGCTGGAAGGAAGGAAATGTCGGGACTCCCGCTCCTCGTGGCTCCCTCACATCGAGCTCTGGCATAGACTTGGCCTGTGGGAAAGGTTGGCCATTGAGTGCCATGGCCCCATGGCCCTCCGGACAGTCTGTGCTGGGGTCAGCACCCACCCCACAAGGGATCCGAGTGTGGCCAGGCCATCCCAGTTACCCCTCTCCACTTACCTGTGAGAAACCAGGGCTCAGGGCCCTCCTAGGTGAGTGACAGCGGCAGGAGGAAAGCCCAGGGGGCTCTTCTGCAAGGCTAGCAGCATCCCCTTTTCCTTCTTAGACTCTGGGACTTTTCTAGGATGAGGGAGCCAAGAGTGGGAAGATAATCAGGGAAACACTGAAATTCAACAGTGCAGGGGAACCTCAGTTTCCTCACCTGTGAAATGGGAACAATAATAACAACTACTTCGTTGAGGTGTTAGGAAGACTGAGTGAGTTAGTCCTTGCGAATGGCCCAGAACAGTGTCGGGCAGCCGTGTGTGCTCGGTCTGTGTGAGTGATTGCTACTTTGTCATTAAGATATAATATTGCTAATTTTTTAAGTAGCAGAAATAAAAATGGGAACAAACTCTCCTTTTAGGAAAGAGAGGTTTTTTTTTTTTTAAGATTTTATTTATTTATTGGACAGAGACAGAGACAGCGAGAGAGGGAACACAAGCAGGGGGAGTGGAAGAGGGAGAAGCAAAGCTCCCCACAGAGCAGGGAGCCTGATGCAGGGGCTCGTTCTCAGGACCCTGGGATCGTGACCTGAGCCAAAGGCAGTTGCTTGACGACTGAGCCACCCAGGTGCCCCAGGAAATAGAATTTATTAACATAAAAAAAAAAAAAAAGCTGTAGTTCTCAGTAAACTTCCTCTTGCCTGCTGCCCTCACCCCTGCCTCCATACCCAGATGGCCCCCGTGGTTCCTCCCACGTCTGGGGTTGGCAGAGCCGGGCTTGCCCTGGATCTGTTCCCCCAGCACCTGTGCATTTGGCCTCCAGTTAGCCTGCTGAGGTTGGGGGGCGGGGATCCTGGCGGCTAGGATTTGGCACCAGTTCGGACTCCCAGGTTGGGAGAGCCCTGGTTTCCCTGCACATACCCCCCGCTGCTTTCTGCATGCAGTGGACACGAAGGACGAAGGGCGGGGCTCTGCTGGTCTACCAGGTCTGCCTGCGGAGCCTGGCAGCACCCAGAGCCAGCCCCCGTGGGGCCTTTGGGAAGGGATGGGGTCTGGACCCCAACAGTCCTGCTGTGGGCTCAGCCTACTGATCTCAGCAGGACCGTGTGCGTCCCGTAGCCACTGCTTCCTTCCTCCCCTCTCTTCTCATCCAATATCCTCAAAAGGATGTCCCTGGTTTCCCAAGATCTGTTTCCTCGCCACTCCTCTCTCTCCCTTTACGCACACTGAGGCACACTGAACTTGCTCTGGGGACGTCACGGAAGTAGATCAGTTGAATAGGAATGATTCGGTCCTTATCTTGCTGAATGCCTTTCCAACATCTGACCCCATCCATCATTCCCTTCTACAGACCTCCATGCCCTTGGCTTCTAGAAACCTCTTACCTGCTCCTTCTTCCTCTCTGCTTCTGTGTCCCCTTTCGGGGTCCTCCTCCTTTAATGGTCATGCCCCGCCTGGCTCTCCTCTCACTTTCCCTGGGTGAACTCAGCCACACCCTGCGGCTTCCAACACCCATGTGCCCCAACCAACTTTGTCCACCCAAGGTTTCTCTCCCGAGCTCCAGACCGATAGATCCAACTGCTTCATGAGCAACTCCCTCTGGACATCGCACTGGCCCCCTGCCCTCAAGACGCCCCAACCTGAACTCCGGTCCCCTGCCAACCTCCCTTTCAGGTGTGCTCTGAGAAGCTCCTCCGCTACTCTCCTCCTTCCAGTCGACCTCATCTCTCTGGATGCTTGCCGCATCCTCCTCAGCCCACCAGGCACACTCCTCCACCCTTCTTCCTCCAGGCAGCCCCGGGGATCTTCCTTAAGCCCATCATGGGGCTTCCTTGTGGTGCAAAGTATCCAGCCTGCTCCAGACTGTCGTTTCAGAGCTGGCCAGACTCCCAGTTCCTTCTTGCCTCTGTTCAGATTACCCCCAGAGTATCCATACTCATCATCTAGGAGTCTGCTCTGGGGACACCACCTCCCAGAGGCCCTCCCTGATCACAGTCTTTTTCCTTGCCCCACTCCTGCTCCCATAACCCTGGGCACATCCTGTCCCCACTCCACACATCTCTGCATCACCCCCTCTCTCACCCCGCCCGCCTTCTACCAAAGGGGAGGGAAAGCCACACTGGCCCAGGCCTCCCCCTGGGGCCTCAAGTGAGAGCCACGTTTGAGGGCTTAGAAGAAATTGTCTTCCTTCCTGTGTTTTTATTTGTGTTATTGTTGTGGCTGTTCATTGAAAAAAGTCAAAAGGTGTTGGTTGGGGGAGAAATCACATTTCATTCCACCATTGTATCTGTTTTTGCAGCCCCTCTTGGTCCCTTCTACAGAGGCAGACATTGTTCCCCAGTTACTGGTTGCTGGTCATTACCATTTTAATGACGGCCATAGTACGCTGGAATCTGACTCCGGCTCCATCATCTGTCAGTCCTCTGATTGTTCTTGTTGCTGGTCGATTGTTCCTAATTATTTTTCTTCTCGATGCTCATTGCAGGATCAATTTCATGCAGATAGTTGTTTGGGTTTTGTTTTTGGGTTTCTTTCTTTCTTTCTTTTTCTTTTTAAGTCTGTTGAATTGTTTCTTTAGGCTGGAGTCCCAGGAGTGGTATTACCGGGTCAGAGGATATTGATCTTTTATGGCTGTGGCCAAGAACCACTTTCCAAAAGGGTTGAACCATCTGTATGGCAACTGGCCATATACGCAAGTTCCGGGGTTCCACTTTTGCACTAATTTAATATATGTGTAAAATGAAACTTTAAGATTGATTTAATCAGCAGTTCTTTGACTAAAACCACATCCCTAACCCGGCCTGGCTAGCTGGTTGCCTACCCCCATCTTGGAGTGGGAAGACGGGGATAAGGAACACTCTGATGATGGTCACGGGGGACCCTGAACTTGATAATGATTACAGCTCACACTCACTGAGCGCTTACCATGTGTCGGGCACTTCTCATTCTCTCATTTAATCCTTATAAACTCTCCATGAGGGAGGTAACAATTTTCCTCCCCATTGTACAGATGCAAAAAAACCCAACGTTCAGAGGGGTTAAGCAACTGACCCAAGGTCACACAGCAGTGGGGCTTGGATTTGACCCTGTCAATGACCCTGAGCCATTTCTGCATCAGCACACCCAGAGCAAGAGTGAGGAGGGCCAGTCCTCAAAGGCTTGTCCTGCTGGCTGGCAAGATCATCAGAAGGCTCACGTGGGAGCTTTGCTGAAAATAGATAACAATAAGTCATATTTATTAGCTCATCAGTCTTCAGCCCTGGGAAGTGGGCTGTATGTGTCCGCATCTTACAGATAAGGACATAGAAGGCCAGAGACTCTAGAGGAACCGGAGCCAGGCCCACCACCCCATCCCCCGACCCCCGGGGTTCGGTTTCCACTCTCTAAAATGATACGGTGGGCCAAACGTTCTCTAGAGACCTTCCAGCTCTAAATGGTCTCTGAAATAGGCTGGCTGGTGGCATCAAGTAAAGTTCCTGTGATTTGAAGCTATTCACCTCCCTTGACTTTTTTTTCATTTTCTTATCTGTAAAATGGGTGCAAGGAGGGGCTGGATTTGGTCCTGACCCTTTGGGCTCTAAACTGGGAATTCTTGGGCGGATGTTTCCTACTTAGGAATTGTGGGTGTGGGGAGGGGCGGGGTTACATGTGGGTGGGGGCGGAAGGCCCCCAGCCACCCACTCCCATGCCTCCGGTTTCTGAGGGACATCTGCAGATAAACGCAGTGGCGTAGAGAATCTCCTTGTGCCTTTTCTAAACTCTATTGGTTGCTTTTGCTTTCCTCTTCCACTGCTGCCCATTCTGGCAGCTTCTGCTCAGCGGGGACTGGTTCCCCTCACCCTGCCTTTCTGGCCGTGAACTGGGCTGGCAGGGGTGCAGTGAGAGAGATTCTGCCCCTTGAGGATGTGGAACCTCAGTGCCCAGCAGCCACCTACAGACCCCGACGCCCCCCCGCCCCCCGCCTTGTACTTCGAAGCCCTTAACCCTCACTCCTGCCAGCGTGACACCTTTGC